GTCCAGCACTCCCAACAGCATTTGTTGAAGAGGCTATTTGTACTGCATTTTATGTTTCTGAACACTTTGTTGAATATTAATTGACCATAGAGACATGGCTTTATTTCTGGGCTCTCTATTCTGTTCCATTGATCTACGTGTCTGTTCTTATGCCAGTACCAAACTGTTTTGATTACAGTGGCTTAGTAATATAGTTTGATGTCAGGTATTGTGATCCCTCCTACTTTGTTCTTCTTTCTCAAAATTGCTACAGCTCTTTAGGGTTATTTATTGTTCCATATAAATTTTTGAAATGTCTGTTCTATGTCTGTGAAGTGCAAAATTGGTATTTCAATAAGGATTGTGTTGAATCTATAAATTGCTTTGGGTAGTATGGAAATTTTGATGATAATTCTGCCAATCCATAAACACAATATATGCTTCCATTTATTTGGATCTTCCTTAATTTCTTTCTTCAGTTTTGTGTAGTTTTCTGTGTACAGATCTTTTCCCTCCTTGGTTAAGTTTATCCCTAGGTACTTTATTTTTATTGTTGCTATTGCAAAGATGATTTTTATACTGATTTCTGATCCTGATAGTTAATTTTTGGTATACAAAAATGCCTTCGATTTCCAAATATTGACTTCGTATCCTGCTGTTTTGCAAAATTCAAGTACTAGGTCGAGTAATTTTTTGGAGAAGTCTGTGGGGTATTCTATGTACACTATCATGTCATCTGTAAACACTGATAGTTTTAATTCCTGCTTTCCAATTTGGATGCCTTTTTTTTTCTTTTTCTTGTCTGATCTCTGAGGCTATGACTTCCAATACTATGTTGAATAGAAGTGGTGAAAGTGAACATTCTTGTCTTTTTCCTCAACTTAGTGGGAAAGTTTTAGTTTTTGCACATTGAGTATGATTTGGGCTCTCGGTTTTTCATATATGGCCTTCATTATGTTGAAGTATGCCCCTTTTATTCCCACTGTGCTTAGTGTTTTTATCAGAAATGGGTGCTATACCTTATAAAATGCTTTTTGTGCATCTATTGATATGATCATATGCTTTTGTCTTTAGTTTTGTTTATGTGATGTATTACATTTATTGATGTGCGAATATTGAACCATGCTTGCATCCCTGGGATGAATCCAACATGATCATGGTGGATGATCTTTTGAATATATCACTGTATGCAGTTTGCCAATATTTTGTTGAGGATTTTAGCATTTATGTTCATCAGTGATATTGGCCTGTAGTTTTCTTTCTTGGTTGTATCTTTATCTGGATTGGGGATTAGGATGACGCTGACCTCATAGAGTTTGGGGGTCTTCCCTCTTCTTGGAATTTTTGGAATAGTCTGAGAAGGACAGGGGTTAGCTCTTCCTGAAATGCTTTGTAAAATTCTACTGTGAAACCTTTCTGTCCAGGGCTTTTTTGTGCTCAGAGTTTTTTGATTAGTGCCTCAATTTCAGCAGCTGTTATCAATCTTTTAAGGCTCTCTGCTTCTTCTTCATTCAATGTTGGAAGGTTATATTATCCTACAAATTGTCCATTTCCTCAAGGTTTTTGATTTCTTGGCATATAATTTTCATAGAAATTTCTTACAGTTCTTTGTATTTCTGTGGTATCAGTTGTTCTTTCTCCTCTTTCATTTCTGATATTATTATTTGATTCCTCTCCCTTTTTTTCTTGATGAGTGTGGTTAAAAACTTGTCAATTTTGTTTACCTTTTCAAATAACCAGCTCCTGGATTGGTTGATCCTTTGAATTGTTCTTTTTGTCTTTCTGTCATTCAATTCTGCTATGATCTTGATTATTTCCTTTCTTCTACCTGCTCTGGGCTTTGTTTGTTACTGTTTCTCCAGTGTTTGAAGCTGGAGAGTGAGGTAGTTTATTTGAAATGTTTCCATCTTTTTTAGGTAGGCCTGTATTGCTATGAACCTCCCTATCAGGACTGCCTTTGCTGTTGCCCACAGGTTTTGGTCTTTTGTGTGTTCATTATCATTTGTTTCCAGAAGCTTTTTTCTTCTTTGATCTCATGACTGATCCATTCATTGTTTAACAGTGTACTCTTCGGTCTACACGAGGTTGAATGTTTTTGAGTTTTTCCCTTGAGGTTGGTTTCTAGTTTCAAGCCCTTGTGGTCTGCGAAACTGCCTGTTATGATTTTGATTTTCCTGAATTTGTTAAGGCCTGTTTTGTGTCCTATCATGCGGTCTATCTTTCCAGTTCTCTGTGTGTGTTTGAAAAGAATGTGTATTTTGCTTCTTTGGGATGAAGGGTTCTATGTATGTCAGTTAGGACCAGTTGATCTAATGCATCATTCAGTTCACAATATCCTTGCTGATGTTTTGCTTGGATGATCTATCCATTTTTGACAGTGGGGTGTGAAAATCTCCTACTATCAGTATGTTACTGTCTATAATATTCTTGAAGTCCTCCAATATTTTTCTTATACATTGGGATGCTCCTACTTTGGGTGCATATATGTTTACAATGTTTATGTATTCTTGATAGATCTTCATTTGAGTATTATGAGGTGTCTTTCTGGGTCTCTTTCTATGGCCTTTGTTTGGAAATCTATTTTTCCTGATATAAGGATCACTACCTCTTTTTCTTTTTCATGTCGATTTGTTTGAAATATTTTTTTCAATGTCTTTACTTTCAGTCTGTGTAGGTCCTTTGTTCTGAGGTGGGTCTCTTTTAGGCAGCATATGTGTGGGTCATGTTTTCTTTTCCATTCAGCTACCCGATATTTTTTGGGACATTTAATCCATTTACATTTAAAGTTATTTTTAATAGGTAGTTATTCATTTTTTACCTTTGTACTTGTGTTCCTGTCTTTCTCACTCTTTTTCTTCATCTTCTGAAAGCAGTCACTTTAGCATATCTTGCAGATATGGTTTGGTGGAAGTATATTCTTTCAGCCTTCTTTTGTCTGGGAAATTCCTTATTTCTTCTTCCATTTTAATTGAGAGCCTTGCTGGATGGAACAGTCTTGGTTGCAGGCCTTTGCTTTTTATTACTTGGAATATTTATTTTTATTCACTTTTGCCTTGTAGTGTTTCTGCTGAGAAGTCAGCTGCTAGCCATATTAGGCCTCTCTTGTATGTTACTACCTTTTTCTCCCTTGCTGTGTTTAAGATTGTCTGTTTGTCTTTGATTTTGCCATTTTAATTATGATGTGGATTGGGTCTTGTTGGGTTCCTCTTGAATGGGTCCCTCTGTGTTTCCTGGACTTGTGTGACTTTTTCTCCCTTAACATTAGGGAGGTTTTCTAACTTTACTTTTTCAGTCAGATTCTCTCTCCATTCCTCCTTTTCTTCTCCTGCTAGTATCCCTATTATCTGGATATTATTACGTTTGAGGTTGTCCTGAATTTCCCTGTGTGCCTCTTCTTCATTTTGAGTCTTTTTCATCTTCTTGCTCTTTTGGGGAGGTTTTTTCTACCTTGTCCTCCAGCTTGCTGATTCGATCCTTGACTTCATCTAGCCTGCTTTTGATTCCTTCTACTGTGTTCTTCAATTCAGAAATTGTATTCTTCATTTCTTCTTTCCTCTTGTTGATAGTTTCTATGTCCTGTTTCATGCTGATATAGTTTGCAGTGAGTTCCTTGTAGTTTCCCTCTAGTTTTTGGTACTTCTCTTTGAGCTCAGTGAACTCACTAAGCTTCTTTAGAACCATTGTTTTGAATGTAATACCTGATAGTTTACTTGCCTCTCTTTCATTTAGTTCTCTTTCTAGGGTTTCCTACTTTCCCTTCAATTCAGGGTTGTTTCTTTGTGTTCTCATTATTTTTGAGACTCTACTTTTTTTACCTCTGCTTTTTAATTCATATGTCTTGACATCGTGACTTCAAAGTGTGAAAGTCTATGGTAGGATTCCTGTGAGATTCATTTGTGCAGTCTCCATGATCTCCTGAACTTGTTGCTCTTTGGATTCCTTCTATGCCATTTTGAGGTGGTCCCTCATCCTGCGGGGCCTACCCAGCCATCACGGATGAAGAAATAAGTCATTCTAGACATTCTCAGTCTGCCAGGAGGAGGGGGTGGCAATTCCCTCTATTGTAAAATGCTCCAAGCTCTTCTCTGAAATGGCTTTTTATTGAGAATTGTATGTGCAGGGGTATAAAGCGTATGTGCATATCTTCTCAATCCACATCAAAGGGCCATAGATAACAATAAAAGGAACATATAGATCAGCCTTGGGACAAGGGCTGTTAGACATATTGGTGCCTGATGGTCATTAAGCCAAGGCTGGTGTCTCAGGAATCTTTTCCCCTGCTTTGAGACTAAACACTTGATTTTTCCTTATCAGAGCATTTTAAAGCACAGCAAGCTTCAGTAAATACAATGCCCTCTTTCATCCAGTTCTCCCTCTGTGATCCTTGGTCCTAATGTCGAGTCATGTCTGCCTGATCAAGACACCACCATCTTTCCTCCCTCCTAAATTTATTCGTTCTGTATTGCTAAAATAATGGTGATATGAAGCATCAAGAGCTGCTGGATAATTTCTTGGTGAGAGAGAGATTTTAATTAGCTTAGAACCTCTACATTTATGTGAATTGTATAGGTATATGAAAGATTTGACAGAAGAACTAAGTTCTTGGTTTGTTAATTGTGTAGTATTTTCTTTAGTCATCCAATATTTATATATCTATGATCTCTTACCTTAAAATCATACATGGCCTCTCCTTGGTACCCTCATAAGCCTTTAGTATCATGACTGTGTCATTGATTATATGGACTTTCATTTTAGTCATTTATCTATTTAAGTTCTACTAGATATTAAGCTTATTGCAGATGAGAACGTTTCAGTAATTTGTGCATAGGAGGTTTATACACATAACAATTCAGTAAACAAATGTTCAAGTGAATTTGAATTGACTTTCTCAAGTGATTCTTGATGCAAGACACAATTTAGGGGATAAATGAGATATATGAGCATACTAGTACAAGTAGAAAATATCAGAAACAATCATTTTGAAAGGCATTCATTTTTAAACTTCTTTTTATGTTCTCCAGGTGCCTTAGTAGATCAGGGTGTCTTTGAAGAACTTATCAGGGATCACATTCCCAGCTGAGTAAACTCACGACTGATATGACGTTCTTTTCCTCAGTTTCTCTCTCTTGGTTCCATGAATGTGGTGGACTATTTCTTCTATGATGGAATAAAGGTCATTTTACAACTAGGATTGACAATACTTGACTATAATTTAGACACACTGCTGGCATGTAAAAATTATGTTGAAGCCGTGACAGCTTTAAAGAGGTACTATAAGAACTGTAACAGTTAAATCTAACGAGCCCCTTAGGGATTATGTTTTTCAATCCGTTTTTTTGACAGGTGAGGAAAGGAAGCCTGGAAACTTGAAGCAATTTGCCCAAAGTCACAAAGCTAGTTGAATGAAAAAGCTAGATCTAAAGTCTACTCCTGTTTCCAAATAGAATATAACAAAAGTAAATCACTTTGAGGTAAGTCACTAATTTTGTTGATTCATTATTTCAGGACTTTCATGCTCCCATTTTGAGCTACAAAGTGTCACTGTGTAAATGTAATTTGAAGGGGAATGGATAGTTGATAATGTTAAATATCGAATGGGGGAAGTCATTCTGGTTTCCAGGTGGATAGGTTGAGCTTTATTTTCCTAGTGTCTTTTTTACGAATGCTGTTTTGTTTTAAAGCATTGGGTGTGTGACTGTATATACTATGTATGCATATGTGAAATAAATATTTGATTGGGTAACTGCTATAATAGTGCATCAAATCCCATTATGTACAGAATAAAATATAATAGATACCTCACCCTAGCATTTATAACTCACTATTTAAGGCCTTGATATACCCATTCTTAACTTATTTCTCCTTACGTGCCTCTACATACCCTATATTCCATTAGTGGAAATTAACCTCTGACTAACTATGGAGAAATTAGCTGTCATTTCTGTTCTCATTTTACTTACTTCCACTAATTGTATTACTGTCACTTTTGGATAAGTTCTTTGACAGTACAACTACTAAGGATAGCCCATTGCCTTCAAGTGTTCAGCAAGGTTCAAATGTGATGAAAAAAGAAGTCATATTAGAGTGGGTATTACAGATTTGATTAGAGAGTCAAATAAGATAAGATTTAAGTATCATAAATATAATTTCATAGCATATTTAAAATAATCAATCTATAGTTATGTCTCTAGTGATATATTAAGAGTAGGATAATAATGCAAGTAAAGTTGTAATTTTAAAATATTACCTCACTTTAAAAATGAGTTCTGTGAACTGTTCCTTAATTATGTAGCTTCCTCTGCTTCCATTTGCTTATCTTTAAATGAAAATATATTCACTTGTTTTCACAAATAATGACCACTTTTAAATATACATCACTACATAAAAAGCACAAAATTATTATCTTTTTAGAAATTAAGAATTTTACCAATGTTCTTGTCCTTACTCTAGGTACATAATAGATGGAATTCTCTCCAGTGAATATATAGAAAAAATGAAATGTGGGAGGTAAGAATTTGCATAATCCCCTAACAAGTTAAGAAAATAGCTAGAAATAGAATGAAGGCTTCTGAGAATTGAAAGTAATGAAATTAAATTTTAAGAAAAGTGTCTATTTACTATGAAAGTACTCACTGAAATCACATTTTTGTATAAATATGGTAATATTAATTTTGAAGATATACACAGCATGTGCTGTCAAAATAGCTTGTATGTGATATGGACCCTAGAGAAAATGACAAGCAGAATGTGGTAGGTAACCACCGAATGAGGGGAAATCAATTGGAATGAGAATTTTTTTCTTCACCTTAAAAAATTATCATTATATGTAGAGAAAATTAGACTAACTAAACATTTGAGCAAGATTCTTGCCATAGCTTAGCTCACTATAAAATTTTTTAGAAGAAATAAGTTATTTTCTTTTGGGGGGGAATTGTTTTATTTTTATTTTTTTTCACTTACAGTTTACATTCTATATTATTTTGTATTAGTTTCAGGTGTATGATATAGTGGTTAGACAATCATATACTTTACAACGTGTTCCCCCAATATTTCCAGTGTCCACCTGGCACTATACATAGTTATTACAATACTATTGACTGTATTTCCTAGGCTGTACTTTACATCCCCATGGCTATTTTGTAACTACCAGTTGGTACTCTTAATTTCTTCACCTTTTTAACCCAGTCCATTATATTGGTTTCTCAAACATGTTTTGTATTATTTGACCTTCAATAGTGTATACTATGATATAGGCATTTAAGCATAATATATTTGTTATGTGCTTTATCAATAACAGCTGACCTACATAGTAGCCAATGCTGCTAATATGTATTATTATCCTGGACCTAAGATAAAGTGGAGAATGGCTAACTTTTTTTTTTACACTCTCATTTTTTAATATTTGGATGTCTATATAAGAAGCTGTTAATATTGGTTGACCTTGGTGATTAGGATTAATAGGCTACTAATCATAAGACGGAGAGGTTGACTTTGCCGTATATATCCTTCTGTACTCTTTAAGCTTTTGATGAGAAGATGTATTGTTTATCTGAAAATGTACTTGCTTTAAGGCCAAACCTTCAGAGGTACAAGTCTGGGGAGATTAACATTTCTTAATATTCCAGGTTTACAGTCAAGATGATGGAGGAGTGAGTGGAAGTCACACTGACCTCCCAGGACCAATCTGGAATTACAACTAAATTGTGGAGAAATCTCCTGGAACAAACCACTGAAAAATAGCGAGAGAGACTTATGACCTAGGACACACAGAAGAATCAGCTTTAGCACAATCTAACTAGTAAGGACTGCAGTAGAGACTCAAGAAGGCAGGCTTGGAGCCCATGGGTGGCTGCACCAAAAGGATATTGAAATGGCTAATTGGATCCCCTTGAGATGAGTGGGATCTAAACCCTAAGCAGGGATGTCCAGCCTACAGCACCAGAGCCCAAAAAGTACAAAGATCACAGACAGCTGCAAAAAGCAAGAGGGTTGCTCTCTGCTAGAGACAGGCGGCTGGAGACGCAAAGAGCCTTTTAAAGGACTAACACATGAATTTTTATTTGGAGCCACTTACCATGGGCTCTGACAAACGTCAGGACAGAGTAGACTAGAGACACCAGATGAGAGACTGGTGAAGGATGTTTTGGGGCGAAAACTGAGAGAGCTGCTGGCAGGATTCAGCTGCTGACTCATCCCCCATACAGCAACAGCAATCATGCTAAGACAGACCACTCCCCTGAGCATCAGCAGCGAGAGAGGTCCTAATAAGCCTTTCACCAGGAGTGACTCAGCCTTGGCCTGGAAGTGCAAAAGCCTGAATCCTGAGTACAAAGTGGCAGGCACAGATAGTAGATACCTGGCTAAAGGCAGCTCAGAGTGGTCTAGAGATACTTGAGGAGAATCTGGAGACAGAGGCTTGGGGGAGGGAACTGAGGGAGTAGCCATGGGGATCACAGTGGTAACTCCTCCCCTATACAGCAGCAGGCATCTTGCTCAGAAGATTATTCCCCTAAGCAGCGGCAGCATGAGAGGACCCAATAGCTCCACCACCAGGATGGACTCAGTCCCACCCTGTGGTGTCTAAGCCCACCTGCTGAGTGCAGAGTGACAAGATTAACAGCTGAAGGAGACAGCCACAGACAGCAGATTCCTGGAAGTCTCAAACAGACTGACTAACATCAGACAGTGCCAAGAGCTGACATCATAAGAGGCAGATCCAGAAAGAAAAAACCGATAACCTAGCATAGAAGTTCACATCACAAAGTCAGGAAATCAAGACAGATGAATTTAAGAAGCAGAAGCAAAACATAAGAGTCTCACAAATAATGGGAAGACAAAGAAACACCCCCACAATGGAAAGGAAAGGAGGAATCCCCAGAAAGAGAACTAAATAAAATAGAGGCAAGTGAACTATCAGATACTGAGTTCAAAACAACAGTTCAAAGGAAGCTCAATGAGCTCAGTGAGCTCAGAGAGAATTACCAAAAAATAGAGGGAAACAATGAGGAACTCACTGCAAAATATATCAGCATGAAAAAGGACATAGAAACTTTCAATAAGAGACCAGAGGAAATGAAGAATACAATTCTGAATTGAAGAACATAGTAGAAGGAATCAAAAACAGGCTAGATGAAACAGAGGAACAAATCAGCGAGCTGGAGGATAAAGTAGAAATAAGGTCCCAGAAAGAGCAAGAAAGAGAAAAAAAGTCAAAAAGAATGAAGAGACATTTAGGGAACTGCAGGACAACCTGGAACATCATAATATCCATATTAAAGGGATACCAGAAGGAGAAGAAGAGGAAGAATGGATAGAGAACCTGTTTGAAAAAGTAATGATGGAAAACTTCCCTAATTGGAGGAGAGAAAAAGTCACACCAGTCCAGAAAGGACAGAGGGTCCCATTCAAAAGAAACCCAATGAGGCCCACTCCAAGACACATCATCATTAAAATAGCAAATATCAAAAACAAAGAGACAATTTTTAAGGCAGCAAGGGAAAAACAGGTACTAATATAGAAGGGAGCCCCAATACAGCTAACAGGTGAATTCTCTACAGAAAGACTATAAGCCAGAAGGGAATGGCAAGAAATATTCCAAGTAATGAAAAGTAAAGGCTAGCAACAAAGACTGCTGGACCCAGTAATGCTCTCAATTAAAATGGAATGTAAGAGTTTCCCAGACAAAAGAAGGCTAAAACAATACACCTCCACCAAACCAGCATTACAAGATATGCTAAAGGAACTGCTTTAAGGAGATGAAGAAAAAGAGTCTATGAATGCCTTGTTTATTTCACAGTCACCAATAATTGATATTACCAATATTTTTAATGCTTATTAATCTGATTATGACAATGACGTGTTATTTTAATTGTTCCTTTATTATTTGTTGAAACTAAACCTATTTTTGTATACTTCTTGCCTATTTCTATTATTTTAAAAAAAACATTTAAATGACTTTTTGGTATTTATCCATTTTTTGATTAAAGGTTTGTACAATTTCTTTTCCCTAAAAAAAAATAAATAAATAAACACTTTTTTAGATGTGTTGCAAATACTTTCCTATTCTATTACTTGTCCTTTAACTTTTTTATATGTTTATTATTATATAGTCTTAAGTGTTAAATATAGTCATATGGTCATTATTTTTCTTTATAGCTTCTGGGTTTGAATATGTTACCTCAGGGTAAGAAAAATATTAGTTTGTATTTTCTCCTGAAACTCCTCAGACTTTGCATATTGATTTTTAACTCGTCGGAATATTTTTTGTATAATGTGTGTAATAAGGCTCTGTATTTGTTTTATATCAAGTAATACTGGTTCATTCACCTTATTTGTTGAATAAGCCTTAATTTCCCCATTGATTTGAAATATCAATTTAATCATATAGTACATAGATAGATATATACATTTGTCTTTAGAATGCTCATTTTATTTCATTGACCTACTTGACACTTTCTGTGCTGGTGTCATGTTGTTTTAATTGCTGAGACTTTAAAATAGATTTAAATTTTATAATGTTTTATAATTGACCTTGACATTTAAACATAAACAAATACAATTAATTTGACTTTGAAGAAATAAATAAAGAAGGAACTCCTACCTTTTCCAACAACATGGATGGAACTGGAGAATATTAAGCTAAGTGAAATAAACCAGTTGATGAAAAACAAATACCATATAATCTCACTTATAAATGGAATCCATTCAACAAAATAAACTAATGAACAAAATAAACCACAGGCATGGAAACGTGGAGCAGACTTAAAGTGGCCAGAGGGGATGGGGAAGGAGGTAAAAGGTGGAAAGAAGGAGAAAAGACCAAACAAAGAACATGTATGAATGACCCATAGACATGAACAACAGAGTGGGAATTGACTGTGGGAGCTGCGGCTGGGGTGGGATGGGTGGAGGAGGGCAAAGGGTGGAAAATTGATGCAACTGTAATAAGATAAACATGATTTAAAATTAAAAAAAATTAAAAAAGGATTCCAGGCATAGATTTCAATTAAATCAGTGATGATATTGTGCCATAATTAACATAGTGCCCCCTTGATTAGTTTTCATATATTAACTTTTAGAAATCCTAAAGTAATACATACTTGTTATAAATTAGTCAGATATTCCAGAAATGTAAAAAAAGTATAGGTTTCCTACTCAGGAATAACATATATAAAATTATTGGTATATATCCTTCCAGGTCATTTTTCTGTGTATTTGTTGACATAAAAGTGTATGCAGGGATAAGGACAGATATATAGATATTTTTTCTTTCTTTTTAAAATTTTTTATTGTCCCAGTACATTTCTCTCCATTTACCCACCACCACTCTCTCCTGCCCCACCCACTCCAACATCCCCACCTCAGTCCTTCCCCACCTTGGCTTTGTCCATTGTCCTTAAGACCTGTTCCTTGATCTGACCCATCCCCGTCCCCTCCCCACTATCCTGCTCCCTTCCTTCCCCCCATCCCTGTCGATTTCACCTATCTATGTTGCTAGTCATAATTTCCTTGCCTGCTTGCTTTGCTGATTAAGTTCCCCTTATAGGTGAGATCACATGGTATTCGTCTTTTACCGCCCGGCTTATTTCACTTAGCATAATGCTCTCCAGTTCCATCCATGCTGTCGTGAAGGGTAGTACTTCTTTCTTTCTTTCTTTCTGCTACATACTGACCCATTGTATAAATGTACCATAGTATTTTGATCCATTTATTTACTGATGGGCACTTAGGTTGCTTCTAGCACTTGGCTCTTATAAATTGTGCTGATATGTACATTGAGGTGTATAGGTTCTTTTGAATTGGTGTTTTGAGATGCATAGGATATAATCCCAGCAGTGGAATGGCTGAGTCAAAAGGCAGTTCCATTTTTAGCTTTTTGAGGAAATTCCACACTGTTTTCCACAGTGGCTGCACCAGTCCGCATTGCCACCAACAGTGGACTAGGGTTCCCTTTTCTCCACAACCTCGCCAGCACCTGTTGTTTGTTGATCTGTTTATGGTGGCCATTCTGACTGGTGTGAAGTGGTATCTCATTGTGGTTTTAATTTCAATCTCTCTGATGACTGGTGATGCTGAGCATCCTTTCATATGTCTCTGGGTCCTCTGTATGTCCTTCTTGGAGAAGTGTCTGTTCAGTTCCTTTGCCCATTTTTTAATTGGATTGTTTTTTTCCTAGAGTGGAGCCACGTGAGTTCTTTATATATTTTAGAAATCAAACCCCTATCTGAGATATCATTGGCAAATATCTTTTCCCATACGGTTGGTTTCCTTCTCATTTTGCTGATGCTTTCTTTACCCACGCAGTAGCTTCTTATTTTGATGAAGTAGAAATTGTTTATTCTTTCCTTCACGTAGCTTGCTCTAGGAGACATATCGGTGAAAATACTGCTGCATGGAATATCTGAGAGTTGTCTGCCTAAGTTCTCCTCTAGGACTTTTATGGTGTCATGATTTATATTTAAGTTTTTTATCCATCTTGAGTTTATTTTTGTGTATGGTGTAAGCTGGTGGTCAAATTTCAATTTTTTGCATGTAGCTGTCCAGCTCTTCCAACATGATTTCTTGAAGAAGCTACTTTTACTCCATTTTATGCTTCTTCAACCTTTGACAAATATTAATTGACCATAGAGACATGGGTTCACTTCTAGGTCCTCTATTCTGTTCCATTGATCAATGTATCTATTCTTATGTAAGTACATGAGTGTTTTGATTACAGTAGCTTTTAAATATAGTTTGATGTCATGTATTGTGATCCCTCCTACTTTGTTTTCCTTTCTCAAAATTGCAGCAGCTAGTCAGGGTCTTTTTTTCATTCCATATAAATTTTTGGAATGTTTGTTCTATGTCTGTGAAATATGCCATTGTTATTTTAATAGAGATTGTATTGAATTTATAAATTGCTTTGAATAGTATGGATATTTTGATGATGTTAATTCTTCCAATCCATGAACACATTATGTGCCTCTATATATTTGTGTATTCCTTAATTTCTTCAGTGTTGTGTAGTTTTCTGCATACAGGTCTTTTCCCTCCTTGGTTAAGTTTATTCCTAGGTACTTTATTTTTCTTGTTGCTATAGCAAAGTGCATTCTTTCCCCTGATTTCTGCTTCTGATATTTCAGTGTTGGTATACAAAAAACCCTTCAATTTCTGAATATTAACTTTGTATCTTGCTTTTTTGCCATAATCACTCATTAGGTTGAGTAGTTTTTTGGAGGAGTCTAATGGGTTTTCCATGTACACTATCATGTCATCTGCAAACAATGATATATTTACTTCCTCCTTTCCAAGTTGGATGCCCTTTATTTCTTTTTCTTGTCTGATCGCTGTGCCTAAGACTTCCAATACTATGTCGAATAGAAGTGGTGAAAGCAGACATCCTTGTCTTGCTCCCAATCTTAGTGGGAAAGCTTTTACTTTTTGCCCATTGAGAATAAGGTTGGCTGTAGGATTCTCATACTTGGCCTTTATTATGTTGAATGTGACCCCTTTATTCCCACTTTGCTGAGTGTTTTTATCATAAATGGTGCTGTACCTTTTCAAATGCTATTTCTACATGTATTGATATGATAATGTTTTTTGTCTTTTGTTTATGTGATGTACTACATTTATTGATTTGTGAATATTGAAACATCCTTGCACCCCTGGGATGAATCCCACTTGATCATGGTGGATGATCTTTGTAATATATTGCTGAATGCAGTTTGCCAATATTTTGTTGAGGATTTTAGCATCTATGTTCATCACAGATATTGGCCTGTAGTTTTCTTTCCTTGTTTTGTCTCTATTTGTTTTTGGAATTAGGTTGATGCTTGCCTCATAGAAAGAGTTTGAGAGTTTCCCTTTTCTTGGATTTTTTGGAATAGTTTGAGAAGGAAAGGGGTTAGCTCTTCCTTAAATGTTTTGTAAAATTCTCCTGAGAAACCATCGGGTCCAGGGTGCTTGTGTGCAAGGAATTTTTTAATTACTTCTTCAGTATCACCAGCTGTTATGGTCTCTTCAGGTTTTCTAGTTCTTCTTCATTCAGTGCTGGAAGGTTATATTTTTCTAGACATTTGTCCATTTCATTGAAGTTTTCAAATTTGTTAGCATATAATTGTTCATAGTAATTTCTTACAATCCTTTGTATTTCTCTGTTCTCATTTGTTATTTCTCCTCTTTCATTTCTGATAATATTTATTTGGGTCCTCTCCCTTTTTTTCTTAATGAGTCTGCTTAAAGGCCTCTCAATTTTGTTTAGTTTTTCAAAGAACCACCTCCTGGCTTGGTTGATCCCCTGAATTGTTTTTGTTGTTGTTGTTGTTGTTGTTTTTTGTCTCTCTTTCATTCAATCCTGCTCTGATCTTGATTATTTCCTTCCTTCTACTTGCTCTGTGCTTTGTTTGTTATTGTTTCTCCAGTACTTGAAGATGGAGGAATAGGTCCTTTATTTGAAATGTTTCTATATTTTTTAGGTAGGTCCGTATTGCTATGAACGTCCCTTTCAGGTCTGCTTTCGCTGTGTCCCATAGGCATTGGACTGTTGTGTGTTCATTTTTGTTTGGTTCCAGAAACTTTCTAAATTCTTTTTGGATCTCATTATTGACCCATTCTTTGTTTAATAGTGTGCTATTCAGTCTCCATGAGTTTGAATGTTTTTGAGTTTTTTTTCTTGAGGTTGGTTTCTAGTTTCAAGCCCTTGTGGTTCCAGAAAATGCTTTTTATGATTTTGATTTTCATGAATTCGTTGAGGCTTGTTCTGTGTCCTATCTTTTGGTCTGTCTTTGAAAATGCTGCATGTGCATTTGAAAAGAATGTGTATTTTGCTTCTTTTAGATGAAAGGTTCTATATAGTCACTTAGGTCCATTTGAACTAATGCATCGTTCAGTTCCACAATATCCTTCTTGATATTTTGTTTGGAAGATCTATCCATTTGTGACAGTGGGGTGTTAAATTCTCTACCAGCAGTGTGTTGCTGTCTATATCTTTCTTGATGTCCTCCAAGATTTTCCTCATATATTTGGGTGCTCCTATGTTGGGTGCATATAGATTTACAATGTTTATGTCTTCTTGATGGACTTTTGATTACTATGAAGTGTCTTTCTGGGTCTCTTTTTATGGCCTCTGATTTGAAATCCATTTTGTCAGATATAAGTATTGCTTCTACAGCTTGTTTTCACCCTCCATTTGCTTGTAATATTTTGTCCATCCCTTCACTTTCAGTCTATGTAGGTCCTCTGTTCTTAGGTAAGTGTCTTGTAGGCAGCATATGTATGGGTCAGGTTTTCTTATTCATTCATCTATCTTATGTCTTTTGATTGGGGCATTTAATCCATTTACATTAAAATTATTATAAATAGGTGCTTATTCATTTTTTCCCTTTGTACATGTGATATCTTTCTCACTGTCTTTCTTCATCTTCTTAAAGCAGTCCTTTTACCATATTTTGCAGTGCTGGTTTGGTGGAGGTGTATTCTTTTAGCCTTTCTTTGTCTGGGAAAATCCTTACTTTGCTTTCCATTTTAATTGAGTGCCTTGCTTGGTAGAGCAGTATTGGCTGCAGTGCCTCTCTTTCATTACTTGGAGTATTTTTTGCCATTCCCTTACTTGTAGTGTTTCTGTTCAGAAGTCAGCTGCTAGCTGTATCGGGGTTCCCTTGTATATTACTACCTGTTTCTCCTTTGCTGCCTTTAGGATTCTCTGCTTGTCTTTGATATTTTCCATTTAAATGATGATGTGTCTTAGAGTGGACCTCATTGGGTTCCTCTTCCATGCGACCCTGTTTGTTTCCTGGACTTGTGTGACTTTTTGTCTCCTCAAATTAGGGAAGTTTTTCATCATTACTTTTTCAAACAGTTTATCTATCCCTTCCTCATTCTCTTCTCCTTCTGGTATCCCTATTATGCATATATTATTACGTTTCAGGTTGTCATGCATTTCCCTCAATGCCTCTTCATTCATCTTGAGTCTTTTTTCATTTTCTTGCTCTTTCTCAGATCTTTTTTCTACCTTGTCCTCCAGCTCACTGAATTGGTCCTTTGTTTCATGAACCTGCTTTTAATTCCTTATATGGTGTTCTTCAATTCAGAAATTGTATTCTTTATTTCCTCTTGCCTCTTATTGATAGTTTCCATGTCGTTTTTCATGCCGATGAAATCAGCAATGAGTTCATCATAGATTTACAATGAGTTCCTCATAGATTCCCTGTTGTTTTTGGTAATTCTCTTTGAGTTCACCGAGCTCCCTGAGCTTCCTTAGAACAATTGTTTAGAACTCAATATCTGATAATTTATTTGCTTCTGTTTCATTTAATTCTCTTTGTGGTGATCCCTCCTTTTCCTTTGATTGGGGGTGTTTCTTTTTCTTCACATTATTTGTGAGACTCTTCTTTTTTGTTTCTGTTTCTTAAATTGTCCTGTCTTGACTTCCTCACTTTGTGGTGTGAACTTCTATGGTATGAGACTGCTGTTTTTGTTTTTGTTTTTCCTTTCTTTCTGGATCTGCTTCTGATGACAGCTGTTTTCTCCATCTGACCTTAAGCAGTCTTGAAGAGACTTCCAAAAATCTTCTGTGTGTCTTCTCCAGTTGCTAATCTAGTCACTCTGCCCTCACCAGTCAGGTTTGCGCAGAGTTCCTCCTGTTGGTCGGGCTACTGGGTCCTTTCTGGCTGCTGCTAGTCAGGGGAATGGTCTTCTGAGCAATGTGGATGCTGCCGTGTTGCGGAGGAGTCAGCACCGGGATCCCCCTGACCGCTCCTTCAGTTCTCTCCCCAAAGCCTCAGTTGCCACACTTTCCTCAAGTGTCTCTAAACCACTTCTCATCCCCTTTAGCCAAGGATCTACTATCTGTGATTGCCCCTCTTACTCAGCACCCGGGCTTGTGCAATACTGGGCCATGGCTAAGCCTACTGGGAGTGTGGTTTTGTGTCCTTTCACATTGCTCCTGCTCAGGGTAGTGGTCTCCCTGAGCAAGATGGCAACTGCAGAATAGGGGGTGAGTCAGCACCGGACCCCGCCATCCACTTTCTCAGTTCTTTTCCAAAGCCTCTCTCTCCAGTCTCTCCTCAGGCGGCTCCAGCCCTCTATGTCCCCGCCTCCGCCAGGTCCCAGGGTAAGTGGCTGCTAGTACAAATTTTTGCATTAGCACTTTAAAATGGCTCTTTGCCTCTCCATCCTCTTGTCTCTGCCAGAGAGTACACTGCTGCTTTTCACAGCTGGTTGTTGTCTGTGCACTTTGGGGTCTTTGGTGCTATAGGCTGGAGATCCCCACTTTTGGTTTAGACCCTGCTCTTCTCAGGGGGATCCAACTGGCCATTTCAATATCCCTCTGGTGTTGTTACCCTTGGGCACCTAACCCATCTTTTTGGGCCTCTACTGCACTCCTTACCAGTTAGGTTGTGCCAAAGCTGATTCCTCTGTCTGACCAAGGATTTAAGGCTCCTCTCTCACTATTGTTTAGTTGTTTTCCAGGTGATTTCTCCACAATTTAGTTGTAATTCCAGACTGTTCCTGGGAGGAGGTCAGTGTGACATCCACTCACTCCTCCACCATCTTGAAGTCTCCTAGTTGTTTGTTTGTTTGTTTGTTTTTAAATCAAAGCATGTCACTTTGCTCTGCAAATTTTCATTGAAAAATATATCATGGTCATTGTATATTAGCACATATAGATCTACCTTACTTTTCTTAATGTACTGAATATTATACCATAGTATGTATATGCTATATTTATTCCTTGTAAATATACATTTAGTATTTTTTGTTCTTATAAGTAATACCTTATCTAAACATCCTTGTATATCTATTTTTATATGTTTGTAAAAGTATATCTGTAAGGTAGATTCCTGGAAATAGAACCTAGGCCAAAGGGTTTTCGCATTTGAAAATTGACATTTCCTGCCAAATTATCCTCCAAATGATTTTTGCCAAATTATAATCCCACAAACAGTGTGTAAGAATTCTCTTTCTAGGAGCTTTTTTCTACCTTGTCCTCCAGTTCACTGTCCTCCCACACTCCCACTAGCATCACATATTAAAAATATAATTTACACCAATTTGATAGCTAAAGAAATAAAATTGTCTTTTTTACTTCACTGATCACATGTTAGTAAGTTCTTTAAAAACTTTCTTAATTGCCTATTATAGCCTTTGCTTATTTTTCTGTGAGGTTGTTTGTTTTTTCTTATTGATTTTAGGAGCTCTTTATAAATTACTGGTATTAATTCATTGTCAGTTATACTTGTGACTAATATTTCCCTTCAATCTTATGTTTTTACGTTTTTTAGGGTACATTTCAGAATGTATAAGTTTCAAAATTTTATGTAGTTAAATCTTTTATTTCTTACATGTAATGAAGGTTTCATGTCAAACTTAGCAAGCATCCTTTTCTATATAAAATTATATAATTTATAAACATACTTTCTCATATTGGTGTATTGTACTGGTTTTGCTTTGCTTTTTAAAAACATTTAGATCTTTACTACATCTAAATTATATATTTTCTTTATAGTGTAAGGTAGGTCTCTATTGGTATTTTTTTCAACTGAAACAACCAATTGTTTGAATATCATTTATTCACTAGTTCATTCTTACTGTGCTCTGCCTTTTTCATGTGTCAAATTGCTATATACAGGAGTGTTTTTCTGCAGCTGCATTTATGTTTTACCTATTATGGCTTAATGGTCCATTATTAGATCTGTTAAGGTTTTTAACATTCATTTTAATGATTTTTAAATGTCCTTTAGTAAACATAATTTTTATTTAGATCTTATATATATTTCTTGTTGGGTTTATCTACTGTGCTTTTGATGGTTTTGTTGCTTATACAAATGAGATCTTTTTTCCTTTACAGTTTTTATTTTGTTTATTTTTGTGTATGTAAATGCTATGGATTTATTAATAGTGCTTTATTAAATGGCCATGTTACTGACCCTCATTAAATGTAATACTGTTTGGACATATCAGAGTAGAATTCTCCTGTATTCCATGTACAAGTTTTTAAAGGACAAAATAGGTTCATTTACCCTTGATATTCCTTTTAAAATTTAGAAGAAACTTGTATTCTAACACAGAAAGATCTATAAATGGAGTCAAAGAGAATTTCTATACTGAAGTATTAAATTCTAAGTTGTTTTTAATCTTTTAAAGTTGTGTATTGTATCACAAGATATGAAATTGAGCCTTCTTGAATTGGATGAACTTTATGTCATCTTTAAGGTACTGTTCTTCTTCAAATGAAAAATAATACTCTTTTAATAGAATTTTTATCAAAGCTACTCTTCAATAGTTTGTATTTAATTATTTTAGTAGACATGTTTTAAAGAAAAAATCTTATAAAATTACTTTTGCTGGTTTACTGACTTTCTTTTCTTTATTTGTTTTTTATAGAAAGAGCTGATTTTTAGATTATTGGTTATTGGTGTTTGAGTTGTCCAGTATTGAAGTACCATGACCCTAGTCTGCCATATTTGTAACAGTATTAGATTGACTGCCAGGAGTTCAGAGTGTTATATTACTTGTTGAGTCCTTGGGCTCCTTCTGTAAACAGATACTCACTAGCTTTATGGACATTCAGATTGTTGGACAAAAACTCTGACTGCCTTATAAACTTCAAAGGATTCTCCTCTGCAATTGGTAAGATTATGTCAAATAACTTTATTTTTTCAAACAAAATTAAAGGTACCCTTAAAAATACTTGTACTGCCTATTATTGCCAATTTAGTCAGATTTTTATCAGCCTGAGTTACATTGTCTCCAGCTTTAACAATAACTGGACCTCTTCCTGTGTTTGTTGCTAAATCTAAGTATATTGGTCCCATTTTGCCCCAACTCTTCCAAAAAAAGCACGCTTTTAGATATGGATATTTTAACAGTTAACATGAAGGAAGAGAATGTTCTGATTTTTCCACATGCAAGCAAATGGATACTTCAAGAGTACCTTCTCCCTCAGTAAAAATCCAGCCATATAGTGGTAGACAGTGGTAGAGAAATATCCAACAAACATGTGTTACATGGAAATAGGCCACCTGTTTTTTCATTCCTTTCTCTGCAAACACCTAAGCATGCTTTCTTATCAGGGATTGTTCCTTGAAGAGTAATTTTCTCCTCAAATGAGACATATGGCCACATGCAAAAAGAAAAAAAAAATCTGAGGTTGGGGAAAGGAAGATCAGCAGGAAGAGCATTTTCTCCCTCTGATAAAGGGGATTTTGCTTACATACTAAATGGAAAGAATCTGGCTGACTGGGTGGTTATTTACCTTTAGCTTAAGTAACAGAAGTTTTCCGAATTCTAATTCTTGGCTAATATCGGTACCTTAATTGACCTGTATGGCTGAAATTGATTGAATATCGTTAGGATATGTGACTATTTGCAATTTGATTGTATTGAACAGACATTGTATACAATGGAAGTTTTACTGAGAAACTTTAAACTGCTTTTTAAGCTGAATATTCCTTCAGGTAAGAGTTTAACAGTCTTTAATGGTATATAGGAGTTGATTCCATTTTAACAAATATAATTACAAATATAATCCCTTTTATATTTGTACAAATTTTAACAAACATTTTAACAAATAACACAATGTTCAATATATAAGCTCATTCCTTTATTGTGGTCTGTGGATCGTACTACTAGTACTTTTGGGATACATAGTTATAGTGAAATCTATAGAAGACAGTCTGTATAACAAATGGGTTTTTACCAGTTTCCCTCCGGTTAGTGGTCTGTCAATTTAATGGTAGTTTGTATATAAGAGCTACCTATCATTTGAATATTGGTATAATGTTGAATTTTCATTGTTGCTGTCATTTAGAGAGTAGAATTGAACTTTAGATGAACTGTCAAACTTGTGAAATGCTAAAAATTATTCAGAAAAATGAGACCAAGCCATGGAGAATGAACATTTGGAAAAAGAAACAAAAGCTACCATTTATTGAGTGAAAACTTGCTCTATCAAGGCATTTGTTATACATGCATTCTTATATTTAAATATCACAATATTCCTGAAAGGGGGTATTATACAATACTTCCAATTTTGACAATAAGGAAACTAAGAATCAAGAAGATTAAATTATTTGCCTAAGATCACACAGCTAATACATTGCGTAGCTGGGATTCAAGTGGAGGTCTCACTCGAGCTCAGGTTATTTCTATTCTACCATACTTCTTCAAAGTTACCACACTGTTACACTTTACTTCGGTGTTTCCCACTAACTTTAAGAGGCTACCTTTTCCAAACCTGATTTGTGTTTTGGGAAAATAGTAGTAGGCTTTAAACTAAAGGAACATTGCAAAAGTACCTTTTCCCTTAGATAAGGTAATTCACAAAAACAAATAGCATTGTCTAAAGCTACACTTGGGATCTCTTTTAGAGTCTTCCCAGGATAACCAGGAACCATTCTTTTACCACACCAAAGATCTGAAAGCCATCTTTAACTCTTCACCGACTCAGATCACAAACAAAGCATTAAAAACAAAAGATAAACTACATGATAATTTAATTATGAAGGACTTTACATTGTCAAGTCAAATCGCCATTAAAATATTTAATAATGTCATGTAATAAATATGTTTCAGTAGAAGGGTCAAAAATAAAAACACTGCATATCTGGTAGAACACTCAATTTCATATTTTCGTTGTTACTGAAGATGTTTTTAAATGACTGAGGTCACATTTTCAGAGATTTCCAAATGCAAGATTTTCTTTCAATTGTGATGGCTCTTGGAAACCTATTAAAAAGCAAGTAAGATAAATAATATAACTCAAAGTGATCAAGTATTTTTTGTTATTAGCTATACAATAGAGCATTCCTTCATATGTCTTTATTTTACATAAACACTTTGCTTAGCTCTCTGCCCCCAGATTTATTTGAGATGTTAAAGGGCCTGTTTCTTTTCCCACATTGTTAGTAAATTTGATTTCAGTAATCTGTTTTCAGCTTATATTGAAGTGAAATTCAAGGACCTTTCAAAGGGAAATGAACTTTCTAAGGAAGAGTTAATTGCTTTATTTCAGTCAGCTCCATGGTAAATATCTGTTCAAAAATACATGCTAGATGAGTACTCACTCAATAAATATCTTACTGGCTTAAATATTTTTTACCCAGCTACCGCTAGTAAAATTAGGATTAATTATGATTGCCTAAACTGCATTTTGAGTTTTGATGTATGGAGTATCTTGTTTACTGAAGAATTAGAAACAAAATACTATGCAGCACAAAGAAAGAAAGAGCTACTATCCTTCATGACAGCATGGATGGAACTGGAGAGCATTATATTAAGTGAAATAAGCCAGAGGGTGAAAGACAAATACCATACAATCTCACCTATAAGTGGGACCTAATCCACAAAACAAACAAGCAAGAAAAATAAAACCAACAACAATGAAAGAAAAAATGAATTGACAGTAATGAGAGAGGAGGAGGGAAGGGGTAATGGGGAAAAGAAAGGGAAGGGTCAAGTCAAGGAACGTGTATAAAGGACCTACAAAGCCTAAGGGGGTAGATTGAGGGTGGGAGGTGGGGGTGGGTAAGGCAGGGGAAACTGATGGTGGGAAAATAGATACAAATGTATTTGAACAATAAAACATTTTTTTATTTAAAAAAAAAAAGAAAACATTGTTCTTACTTGTGTTGCAGAAATTTCTAAAACGTATCAGATCATTTTCATTCTTTGTTAAAAATACCATGAAGACAATAGAATCTTTGATGATTGATTAAAGGTCATAGCTGTTATTCAAACTGTGGATGGATATTATAAATCACTGTAGGTGTAGGAGACAGGGATCTCCTGTGTATCTCCAAGACATAATTTGGAAGGGTTATGAGCTTATTTTTTGTGTCCTTTGCTTCTTTTCCATAAATATGAATGTCTTATAGAGGAATAAGTCCTGATTAATGTATGTTTATGGTTACTATATTTTAGTGTTTGAACATTAAATTTGAAGAGACCTAACAAATCATCTAGTCAAATCCCTTAATTATATAGATAAGGGCAGTGAGGTCCAGAAAGTCGTAGTGACTTGTACAAGATTTCACAATGAGTTATTGCCACAGTCAGAACTATTAGCTCAGTCTTCTAATTTCCAATATGTTTTTTTCTAATAAAAGTAATATACTTTAATTTGAGGAAAGACTCAAAGAAGAACATGCCACCCCGAAATAAATACATACTATTTGGTATACTTCCTCCTAAGAATATTTTCATATGGATTTCTTCCTATTGTTCTTTTTACTGTACAAGTTCTTGAATACTTTGTCTTCTAATGATTGGTGGTCAGGTCAGCTAAAATTGGTTTGTTAAATTGAAGAAAAGAATGTGCTTACAAATCTTAATATAAAATATTTTTTTAACAAAAGCTATTTGTTAAATATTTTACAAATTGCAATTGTCCTCTTTTCCTCTAGTTTCCAAGCGTGTGAGAAGGAAGGAGAATCAGTTAAAAAAAAAAAGCCCTGAAAAAGGTATTATGATCTAAGAATATCATTTTTTTATTCCTTTCCAAGGACATAAACATTAATGTTAGAGAGGGGAGAAAGAAGGAAAGAAACATTGGTGCAGAGATGCAGAGATAAACATCAATCGGTTACCTCTTGTACACAAATCAACCTAGGACTGAACCTGTAACCTCCACTTTACGGGATGACACTTCAACCAACTGAGCCACACTGGCCAGGGCCAAATTACTGCTTTTCTAAACAGGATTAACTATACAAAGGGGAAAAGATGATTCCCTTTTTTTATGTGACATTTTAATTTAATCTTTTAAAACATTTTTAAAAATTTTCACTATTGTTGACATACAATATTATATTAGTTTCAGGGGCACAAACCAGTGATTACACAGTTGTATAATTTACAAAGTGATCACCTCCATAAATCATCTGATACCATACATACTTATCACAATATTATTGACTATATTCCCTGTATTCTACTTTACATCGCCATGGCTATTCTGTAACTACCACTTTGTACTTCTTAATTCCTTAATCTTTTTCTCCCATTCCTCTAACTCCTCTCACCTCTGACAATCATCAGTATGTTCTCTGTGTCTATGAATCTTTCCATTTTGTTTGTTTATTTTGCTCTTTAGATTCCACATATAAGTGAAATTATATAGTATTTGTCTTTCTCAGATTTATTTCATACAGTACAATACTCTCTAGACCCATCCATACTGTCGCAGATGACAAGATTTCATTCTTTTTCATAGCTGAGTCATATTCTATTGTATGTATACACCACTCCTTCATTATCCATTCATCTGTTGATGGACAATTAAATTGTTTCCATATCAGAACATTTATAAATAATGCTGCAATGAACATAAAGATGCATATGTCTTTTCAATTTAGTGTTTTGAGTTTCTTTGGATAAATACCCAATAGTGGAATTACTGATTCCTTCCTTGTCTCCTGTTATATCCTTTGTTTTAAAGTCTATTTTGTCTGGTGTAAGTGTTGCTACCCCAGCTTTTGTTTGTTTGTTTCCATTTGCATGAGATAACTTTTTCCATCCCTTTACTTTCAGTCTGTGTGTGTCTTTCCAGCTGAAGTGAGTCTCTTGTGGACAGAATATTTAAGGGTCTTGTTTTGTTATTCAGCCACCATATATTTTTAGATTGAAGATTTTAATCCATTTGCATTTAAAATAATTTTTGATAGATATGAATTTATTACCATTATATTATTCATATTTTTATCTTTTTTCCTTCTTAAAGAAGACCCTTTCATATTTCTTGTAATACTGGTTTGGTGGTGACTAACTCCTTTAGCTTTGTATTTTCTGGGAAGCTCTTTATCAGTCCTTCATTTTTAAATGACAGCTTTCTAGGTAGACTAATTGGTTGTTGTTCACTGCTTTTTATCACTTTGAATATTCCATGCCATTACCTTCTGGCTTGAAATATTTCTTTTGAGAAATCAGCTGAGAGACTTATAAGAGCTGTTTTGTAGTTAACTAACTGTCTCTTGCTGCTTTTAAGATTCTCTCTTTATTTTTAACCTTTTGCATTTTAATTATGATGTGTTTTATTGTGGGCCTCTTTGGGTTCATCTTGTTTGAGACTCTCTGTGATTCCCAGACTTGTTTGTCTATTTCCTTCTCCAGGTTAGGGAGGTTTTCCATTACTTTCAAATAAGTTTTTAATTTCTTGCTTTCTCTCTTCTTCCTCCGGCACCCACATGATACAAATGTTGGTACACTTGATGTTGTCCCAGAGGCTCCTTTACCTATCTTCATTTGATTTTTATTATTTTTCCTTTTTGCTTTTATGATTGGGTTTTTCTTCTTCCTTCTCTTCGAAATTGCTGATTTGATCCTCTGCTTCATCTGCTGTACCATTGATTTCTTCTAATGTATTCTTCATTTCAGTTATTCTATTCATTTCTGACTGGTTCTTTTTTATGTTTTCTATTTCCATTTTTATATTTTCTCTTAGTTGACGTTCTTGCTGAGATCATTGAGCTTCCTTATAACCAGTGTTTTGAACTCTGAATCTGGTAGATTGCTTGTCTCCATTTTGTTTAGTTCTTTTTCTGGAGTTTTGTGGGGTTCTTTAATTTAAGACATGGTTCTTTGTCTCCTCATTTTTTGTTGCCTACCTATGTTTGTGCCTATGTATTACATAGAGCTGATATATCTCCCAGTCTTAATAGCATGACCTTATATAGTAGGTGTCCTAAAAGGCCCAGTGGTACAATCTCCCTGGTCTACTTATCTGGGTGCTCCAATTACACCCCCAGTGTGGGTTATGTGTACTCTTCTCTTGTAGTTGAGACTTTATTGCTGTTGGTACTTCAATGGGAGGGATTTATGCCCAGGTCAATTAGCTTCATGGACCACCATGGAGGATCTGCTGTGTAGTGGATGACTCCGCAGAGCAGGACTCCCTTCAGTGGGGCTCAGGTACTTGCTGATTGTGTCACTTGTACAGGTGTTTAGATCGTGCTTTGAGATAGTCTGAAGCTGTGCACTGGTTGCACTGGCTATGGAGCCTCCTGGGAGTGCAGAACATGGTCAGCTCTGCCTGTGCCCTACTTGGAGCCACCTGGCATGACCTACAAAGTGATGTGCAGTTGGCTGCTTCTTCTGCTGACTATGAGGTGTCCAGGAGAGCACAAGCTGCAAAAGAAAGCTGCCTTCTGCTAGTTTGAGTCCTGGGACCACTTAGCATGAGACACAGAGTACACAGAGTCCAGATCCTGCCTGACTTATTTTACGAAAGTTGGTAGCATGAACCAATACAGACTATTTGTATGGAAAAGCCACTGGAAACAGCTTGGTTGGGCCCAAAATTTGAGTGGTACACAGTCTCATGGAATCACCATGTTGGGGTGAACAAAGTTAGCCAGGTTGTTGGAAGCTCAAATATGGCACCCGCCGGCCTGCTCTGTAGGAGAAGAGCTCAGCAAAAGAAAAATGGCCTCTGCCTGCACTTCTGTATGGGAGAAAGTTGCACTTCCAGCCATCAGTGGACAATTCAGTTCCTGCCCATATGTTCATGGCACCTGCTGCTTCTTCAGCTGCTGGTTCAGTACTGGAGCTCAAAGTGAGTGAGTCCAAGTAATTCCATGTCCAGGCCCTTTAAGAGGATTGCCTGAAGCTCCAGAAGCCCTTAGTCTCATTCAGCCACACTCCCCAATGGTTTTTACAGCCAGAAGTTATTGGGACTTCCCTTTCTGGCACTGGGACCTTGGGCTGGGTGGAACACCTGTGGAGCTTGGGCTTGCTCCACAGGGGGAACCTCCACAGCCAAGACATCCCACCAAATTTTTTTAAATATTTTATTTATTTTTAGAGAGAGGAAGGTAGGGAGAAAGACAGGGAGAGAAACATCAATGTGTGGTTGTCTCTCATGTGCCACCAACTGGGGACCTGGCCAGCAACCCAGGCATGTGCCCTGACTGGGAATTGAACTGGTGATACTTTTGTTCACAGGCTGACACTCAACCCACTGAGCAACACCAGCTAGGGCCTTGAAAAGTGTGGATTGAACTGGAGATCATTATGCTTAGTGAAATAAGCCAGGCGGTGAAAGATGAATACCATATGATCTCACCTATAAGAAGAACCTAATTGACAAAACAAGCAAGCAAGCAAAATATAATAGAGACATTGAAATAAAGAACAAACTGACAGTAACCAAAGGGGGAGGGAGATAACAGAGGAAAGGAGATGAAGGGTAATCAAGAAACATGTATAAAGGACCCATGGACAAAGACAAGGAGGGGTAGGATTGAGGGTGGGAGTTGGGGGTGGGTAAGGTGGGAGAAAGTGGTGGTAGGAAAATGGAGACAACTGTATCTGAACAACAATTTTTTTTAAAGAAAGAAAGAAAAAAGAAAAGAAAAGAAAGAAAGAATGAAATTTAAACAGTACGAAACTCCTCACATACTGAGGCAACACCACCCTGAAGTAAATGCAAAACCATTTTGGGTTATATCCTTTCCAGACCTGTTTCTATGTATACACAAACATATAGATGTCTCTCTTTTTCAAAAATGCAACCTCTGGTTGGTGTGGCTCAGTGGACTGAGCACCAACTTGTGAACCGAAGTGTCACCAGTTCGATTCCCAATCAGGGCACATGCCTGAGTTGAATGCCAGGTTCCCGGTAGGGGGCATCCAAGATGCAACCACACATTGATGTTCCTCACCCTCTCTCCCTCCCTTCCCCTCTCTAAAAATAAATAAATATTTAAAAAGAAGGAAACATTCCATTAATATTGTTCAACAGTTTGCTTTTTTGATTTTGGTATATATCTTGGACATCTCATGATAGTACATTTGGACCTATCTTTTTCTTTTTAACAGTTACAGAGTATTCCATTGTTTGGTTATAAGTTTTTAAGTTTTACTTTTCAATTACAGTTTATATTCAATATTTTTTGCATTACTTTCAGGTGTACAGCATAGTGGTTTGTTAATTATATACTTTACCATGTGTTCCATCCCTCCCTGCTATATCTTTTACCCACCTGATATCATACATAATTATTACAATATTATTGACTATATTCCCTATGTTCTACTTTACATCCCCATGACTATCTGTAACTACCAATTTTACTTCTTAACCTCTTCACCTTTTTCACCCAGTCCTCCAAACACCATCCTCTCTGGAAATATCTGTCTATGACTCTGTTTCAATTTTTTTTCTTCACTTATTTTGCTCTTTAGATTCGACATGTAAGTGAAATCATATGGTACTTGTCTTTCTCTGACTGACTTTTTCATGTAGCATAATACCCTCTAGATCCATTTATGCTATCGGAAACAGTGAGATTTCATTCCCTTTATGGCCAAGTAATATTCCATTGTGTGTATGTACCACCATTTTTATTCACCTGTCTATTGATGGGCACTTGGGTTGCTTCCATATCTTGGCTGTTGTAAATAACACTTCAATAAACATAGGGATATATATATAGTTTCTTTGGAATTATACCCAGAAGTTCAA